CCAAGCACTTTACCTGACTACAGGTTCCAAGCACTTTACCTGACTATAGATTCCAAGCACTTTACCTGACTATAGATTCCAAGTACTTTTCTGTTATTGTGGAAGGGCTTATTAATTTTTCAGTGTGGCTTCAATAAATTCACTGATTCATTGAGAATTTGGATGAGAGAAGGGATCATGATTGCATCCATTCATTCGTATTTGATCGTTATGTATCATTGAACAACAATCTGTGTTCACTTAGGGGAGTATATCAGGTTTGTAATGCAACACCCATCGAATAACAGCTTGAACTAAAAAAACCTTTTGCGTTTTAAATTTCATGAACTCCTAATTATGAACACGGTTTCATTTTTCCGTACTGTGTCAAAGGAATGGCATTCTCATGATTCAGTGTGTTACATGCAGATCAAGACAGGATGGCAAAGGGAGCAGGTCTTGCCTCACATCTGTGTACATCTCTGGCCTTGTCGTACATGTACATAGTGATCCTCATCATGAATGCTAGCACTCTGCCAGCCTGTAGTGGGTCGGAAACCTCTGAGTGTTCTCGTCAGAGCTCGCGGGTTGCACGCGGCATCTTGGAGCGGGAGGTCTATCCCTTGCTCAACTCAGGGGGTGGAGCTTTGCCTCCTTCCTGCCTGCTCCTGCCGGCCAGAGACATGTACCTGGGCCAGGAACAGCGCAAGATCATGGAGAACGCCAACAGGTGGTACTGCAACTACTGCGGCAAGGCCTTCACCAGCGAGACCTACCTGGATCTGCACTTCGGCAACCGGCACAGTGACGCCGTTCCTCAGGAGCCCAGCGCCATCTGCCTGGCCGACCACTGCGACTACCTGCGCTGTGACGTCGTGTCCGGTGCTCGTACGGCCTCGTACTGGGACAAGACGCTCTGCCGCCAGTCGGACCTGGACAAATTGAGGCAGCGGTGCGAAGGGGTCGTGAAGTCTTGCCTCCCGGCGGGCCTCGAGGGGACGGAGAAACGTGACCTGCGGGACAAACTGCGGAAGGCCATGTGCTCGCAACTGACCTGTGACCGCTACTGGGAAGCCCCTTCTCCCGCGAGATCCCCTCACAGTACGGTAGCCTACGCGGTGCTGACATGCATCCTCATCGTTGGCTTGTGTCTGTACTACCTGGTGGCCTATACACACTTCTACACAGACAACTCTATGCTGAAAACTGACAGCGATGGGCTCTTCAGCCCAGTGGACAGTGAACACTACTATATGAGGAACCATTATGAAGGGGATATTCGTAGTAGGTACCAGCAGGTCTCACGTAGGTGATACAGGAACGTCAGTATACGTACTGATCAGTGTTGCACTGAACCATCATAATATAATTAGACCATTGTTTGGGGAAAATGAATTTTATTTGTCAGTTGATCATTTTATATGCACATTTACACTTGAAAGTTAAACACATCTCTTCATTATCAAGCAAAATTGTAAAACAAAAGGATGTCTTCATTATGAGGAACTGCTTGAACTTTTTTGTAAATATGAAATTTTTCATCAAAGAATACAAAATGGTAGAATTTATGAAGGACTCAACAGCCAGTCATGCTAGCCCAAGTATTCTGTTGGAAAATCAAACAAGTTTTTGAAGGCATTTGCTCTTAACCTCTTTGGTATGTTCACAACATCTGCTCCATGGACGCTTATGCTAACTAGATTTATTTCTCAATCTTTTAAAAGATGCTGAGATTTACAGCAATTCCCACTTTTTTTTTAACTTTTTACATGGCATGACAGCTTTTGATTGCATGCAACAACTTATGTGTACATGAGGATCATTATTATTCTGTGCACATTGAGTTTGTCATTTTCAACAGTTCCATATCAAAATTAGTTTGATAGTGTATTTGATTTTCGTCAGACCTTATCCAACCTTAAATATCTTGGAACTCCCTATTCTCGAGATGAACATATTTTATCTAATTTATTTCATGATTTTCTGTACATGTATTCTTGGTTTCAAAGATTTGACTGTTTTTCCTTCAAACTGTTTTGTACACTTGAGTCTAGGTTTATACAGAATTTGATGTGACAACAAATGAAAATGGCACAGACATGGGTAAAGTACTTTGGTTTGTTTATTTATAGTACTTCATCAGTAACAAATTAAAAGATTTAATCAAATAATTGATCAAGAGCGACACCAGTTTCTTTGTCGTTTAACCATGCAGGTTATCGTTTGTTGCTTTCACTGTAGGTGTTGTCCTGGGGGGCACAGAACAATGCTCAATGGAAGCAGTACCTACATTTAGAATCCTGTCAATAGGTGATGAAGCTTAACTGTTACTTTTGCCTCCAAGTTCTGATTTGAGGAACAGTCCTGCAGCCCCACTCGCCTTGCAAGAACTGTAGTTGCTGCCACCAACAATTTTTTTTCAGAAGACAGTCCTGTCTTTGTGTTATAGCTACTGTGATCCTTCTGTGTGCAATCTTTATCCTTGCAATATTGGCCAATCAAAAGGAAGTTAAACAACGTGAGTTGTAATTTGGACTGAAAAATTCAACCATGTAAAACTAAATTAAAATTGGATAAAACAGGAACATCTATGGGTACAATGATGTGCTCTTAAACCTACTGATAGCCAGGGTTGTTTTTCTCAATACAAGTCACTTGCACAAAATGTCTGTCAAACAAAAAGTTATGTTTGTGCAACTGAACTATAACAATACATGATATTGTCACATTTACAATGACTCGTCCAACTTCTGGCATGTTCAGTTGTATGTTGAAAACAATTCAAATATGCCTCAAGGCTTTTTACACATTCAACTCATTTATCAAAAGCCAGTAGTCACACCCCTACAAATAAAAGACCCAAAGTTTTCTTAAATTGGAGGTAGTACCATGAGGGTTTGGAATTTGACAGTTGGGACATGAGAGTGTCTTGCCTTGTAACTCGATGACACCTTAGTAGTCATTTGAGCTCTGTAGTTCACAAGCATCTATTTCCACTGTAACTGTATTACAGCTAAAATTTTTCTCCGTACATTGCGGGGATGCACAATGACCACAGGTGGAATGATTGTCGTCGTTTTTGTGCAAAGCCACAAGCCAATGCTTGTGATAATATTCCCCCAAATTATTCAGTAGAAACCTATGGGCATCGTTGAGTGCATAATCACAAGCATGCATGTAGGTCTTTTGGGAATTTACCAGTTCAGTACTCACTTGTTAATGAGAACCCGTCAAGTGTAAATTCCAAACTTCAACAGCTTAAAATTGCATCTATCTGCAACACAAGTGAAAATCTTGAGGCAAGAGATATTGGAAAATGTCAACACAGTGATGTGTGCGAATTCAGAATTAAGTAGGCTATTCAGAACATGTTCATAACGTGCACATAAATGGAGTTAGAACATGTGACAACGACTGTGAACAGATTCTTTTCTGAGGTACTTGATGCAGTCTCGTAGGCGGGTTAATGATAAAAATCATACAGCAGGGAATTATGGCAACATTTGATGATATTTCATCAGATCTTCGCCAACCTCTGTTCTACAACTTGGTATGCTCCTCACCACAAGAATTTCTACAAGTTATACTGCAGTTTTCAACTCTCTCACTACCCAACTTCACAAAAACGGTTCGGTATTTCTCAGTAAAAAGCTACCTTTTATCTGAAACCATTTCCTTACATTTTTAAGGAATGTACCCCGAAAGACTGTCATTTACCACACAAGTGAATTTCAGGGTGACCTCACTTTAGCAAAACACTTCATGTCTACAATTACAAAAGACAAAGGAATCCTCTTGTCTTTATTGTTACAACTTATACAGGTAGAAAAAGCACCATCAGTAACGCAATTGTTTAAGTATGAACTCATCCAAACGAGGAATAAATTAAAGACAAGACAATCAACCGAATGCAGGTCATTTCATCGTTTTGAGATCAGCTGGAAATCTGAAAGACTTTGAAAGGCAGAAAATCTAGGATATACTCATGGTAAGGGATCATCTAAAAAACAAAACAAAAATGTTTAGAATGCCCGTAAATGTTCAGTTTTGAACACAGCTTTAAACTTCCGAAGCTGTCCAGTTGTCAGAATCAAGCAGATGTCAATCTATCTCGCTTCCTACACCCAGCCTTTTTTCCTACACGTCTATAAACCTTCAGTTATCAGTCTTAAAATGACTAATAAAATAATGCTATAGAGTATCGAAACGTGACATCATTTGAACCAGGAAGTGTTGTGCAAAACGAAGGGTTCACAAATAATTCTGCACATGACATATTCACTTTGGTACTCTATGAAGTACACGTACTTTAGAAATTTTACCAAGTCAACATTAGATCAATGCTGACAGCTGTTTTGACAAAGATCAAACATCTGCTCACAATTTTGAGCCTCCAGGAGAAAAAAAACGAAATGAGCATACTTGAAATTTCAGAGAGTAAAAACCCACAACCAAAAAAAACCAAATAAAAGTAGAAACTGAACTAAGGGGGAAAAAAGGGTTTTTACAATATGGCACGAACAGCTTAGAAGAATGAAACCAAATTCTGGGCTTTTGCATGGCTGTCTGGACACCTGTATCAATCACGAATTCACCTGATTTAATTTAATGAGCAATTGTCAAGCTGTATAAATTTCTGAATGGGATTTTTCTGTAAGAACTTTAGGATGGAATCCAGCAACGAAAGCACATTATAAAAAAAAAAATTTCAACTTAAAAATGAGAAAAGGTGCATGACAAAAGCAGCAAGATATGAAAAGAAACAAGGCACAGTATACATCTTAGGATTCTGGAAGAACAATCACCAAAACCAATGTTCATGAAAAATGTTTGCTGTCCGAGAACAAACTATTTTCAATTTCAAATTGTTTGCACAGTTACTGTCCAAGTGAAGTTTTAGAATTTAACTTCCATCTGTTGAACACAACTTTGAAAAAAAAACGCAAAGAAAGAAGAAAAAAAGAAGCAAATGGTCTGGGGGATATTCAAAAACTTACCCCACTAATGAAATATTGTAGGAAAATTATTGTAAAAAAAGGAATGAAAGTGTAAAGACGTGCCTGGCACAAGATATGGAATGGTTCGGCATGATCATGGACTGCTGGATGGGAATAACATTCTGTGCCGTTTGGGTACTGTAGTGATTTAGTCATACTAATAAAGTCTCACATCACAAAACATTTTCAAATGACAGTGACAATGTCATTCCTATGTCACTGTCCAACCCGTCACTTCTGATCTCATCTGTTTACTCTGACTCATGATTTTTGATTGACTTGTGTGCATCTTCCTTCTCAGATTAAAAAAGTGTTTCAAAAATGCATACAGGGCCATCTAGTGCCACAATGTCTAACAGATGTGATGAACATATACCATCTGGCATGGATCTACCTGCAATGCCATGTAGAGTAGGCTAGGCCAAGGTTACCTCCATTCGCATTGTTGAAATGGCCACTTGAGGCCGGAGTTTGAGTCAAGCCCATTGGAAATCCGACCACAGGTCCAGTACCAAGTAGCAGAGTGAACAAAGACATGCTTTTGTCACAGTTCATTTGAAGACTGAGACTTGGCTTCAGAGTTTGGACCGCATGGCTCGTGATGGACTTGTAACGACTTCACGAGGTCGACAATGCAATTGACTTCAACACTATTAACTGCATGCTTGCTATTAAACTAACAATCACAATGTCTCTCTCGGCATGACTGCAAATAATCAGTATCAAGGATCCCTTCTACATTGACAACAATGTTCAATCATTCTACCTGCTGTCTGCAGTGGGCTGGTTGACTACGCCAGGGACTACATTGTTATATTGAACAATTCCCATCTTCCCTCCATTTAATAGTATGAGAAAACGTTGTGAGAGAGGGAACAGTTAAATTCCTGGCAAGGCTACAAAATGTTCAGAATGGAAATTCTATTGACTGTCATCAGATTAAAGGAGTTACAGATAAACCAAAGAGATCAATATAACTAGTACCGCAGTTGATTGACGTAATAAAAAAATTAAAGCATGATATATTATTGCCGTTTGCTCTAAATCAAATTATCTTACAGACTAGTTACATTTTCCATGGGGACTACTTATTAAAATTGGCTGGTTTCATTTAGCGAGACACTTGCTCGGTTGACTGTTTCCGTTTGTGATCACACCATCCAGGTCGGCAGGGAAGGGCCGCTTTCGACTCCTGCCTTTCCGCCAGCCATCCTTCAAGGTGTGGTTGGGGCTCTCGTCAGCTTTCGTCCTGTTGTTCTTCTCCATGAGGTGGTTGGCGCCCACGCTGTTGGAGTCCGGCGCGCTGATGATTCGCTGGACGTACTCCAGCAGTTTCTCGTAGAACTGGGGCACCCCGTCATAGCCTGGGTGAGTGGAGTAACATAGACAAGAGGCTTTGAAAGGAATAACTGTGTTTCATGGACTGACGTGCAAGATAGCTGAGCGGAGTTTATAGACCACAGAGGACTGTGGGAAATAAGGCAAGGAGCACAAACGATGGCTTCATCTTGCCACCAGAATTTGATGCATCAAGCCAATTCCATATTTCAGCATCCACAATTCACATGCTTTGTTCTCAAATGACCTTGTCTTTTTGAAATACCTGACAAACTCATTACTATGGTAGTATACTTATGCACATCAAACTCCTTTTTGATTGATAGGGTGTTTCAACTTGCAACAGAGGTTCTGCATTACTGGTCTCTCAGAGACCGTTCTTTGTTATTTCAACCACTTGCTGCCAGGTTCGATTAAAATGGCCGAGCACAAATACTGACGTTTTTCATTATTTTCCATTTCAAAATCCTTCAAAAATACATTGCTTCATTTACTGGACATTTACACCCACACGAATGACTATCTGGTGGCTACTCTAATCTGACAGGCAACATTTATTGATGCCCGTGTATTTCAGCCAGGCCTGCTGGCTTGTAAAGAGAGCCCGGATTGTGTGGTGTTGTGTAATTTTCGTTTGTTCTCAAAACTAAAGCAGTTCACTGCTGGTGTCTTTTTCAATGAAACCAGATTAGAGTGCAGCGGTATTGTGTTGCTCATCATCACTGCAGTACTAGAGAGCTTTTGTCCGTGGTCGTAATCCTTCGTATTGAATGCCACAAACAGTGGTATAGTGGTTTACTAAGAGGACAGACTACCTCTGCTTTTGACAACTGAAAAATGTTCCTCAAGTCCCAGCAGCTCGATCTTTTGTTCAGAGTGTGGTCTTTAGTTACAAGATCCGGCTCCTTTGTCCAATTTCGGGCTCCCGGCTATGCATACAAACATAAGGTACCCGATACTGGATCCCCCGGCGCCAAGTGGTTAATATCGTTGCAAATAATGCACAAAAAGTTTACTCAAGTGTATCCAAGAGGAAGAAAGAAAAAACCTTGAACGTGACGTCATACGCCAAAGGTCTACGTACGCATGCCTTAAATGAGGAGCCATCCAAGAGCATGTTACCAACACGGTAAAAGTGTCTTCTCCAACGAGACTATTTGACTCAAAGCTTCCATTTTACCTGGGAATGCATTGATGTCGATCACGTAATGCATCCCGGTGTCGTTCTCTACGATAACATCAAATCCAAACAGGGACAGTTCCAGTGATCGGGTGACTGCTGCTACAAGGTCCTCTAGTATTTCATTGGAGGGTAGTACTGGCTCACGGATCTGGTCAATCTTGTCCAGCTGGTGGTGGCAGGGATGGGGGGAGGGAGTGAACAGAGAGTTTTGTGAATTTCGCATGACAAGAGAAAAGAAGAATATCTATTTTCCTTGCGTCTCATTTTCAGCCAATTTATTTTGGTTGGTCAGCTTGAACTGCATGCATAGGGTGAGCAACATGTCAAGGCGCAGACACCAGACAGTCATGGAAGGGACAATGTGTGGCATGAAATGCCTTCTTAAAGGTGTTGACACTGCCTCTTGAAGCCAAACTGATACTCCAGAATGATGGATTTCATTACGGTCAGCTACTTTGTTGACAACTGAGGTACCATTTTTGCAGTAAGAAGAAAATGGGAAAATTCTTGTCACTAAGCGAGAGAGATATTGCTATATACCCGTTGTGCAAGCGTGCATGTTTGTATGGGCCTACATTGTTGAACTAAGTTCAGCTTTGCTAACTATCGCCGTTCCTGTTTGTGTCTATTGGGAAAGTCCTGGATAAGACATTTCCATACATCGATGTAGGCCTTTCAGCAACAATTATATGGAAGCCAGGATTTATTTGTAAGAATAGCTGATGCAGTGCTTCTGCCACTGTGATCAAGAAATCAAATTTTGTCTCAAATTTGAAGGTTTGCTAGGTGGAATGGATACAAAAAATGACGGGCTGTCAACTTTAACATCAGGTCCTACCTCATTCAGGAAAGAAGATGAATGAGGTTTGGAAACATCATGACTATGGAAGAATATCGTCTTTTGATCTGTCAAAAGTGAAAATAAACACAATTATTCAAAGGCTTAGCAAGTATTCATACGCTAATCTGATGTGGAGTGTTATCCACTGAAAATTAAATGATGCTTTACTGATAACAAGGGAAGATGCTCACCCGGTTCTATATGCACAAAGTTTTTTATTGATGGCCGTTTAACGACGACAAAATCATCGTTGATGATGAAGGTTTTAAACATCTGGGCATTGTGGTTGATGAATGTCTGGGCGACACAAGGTGGTTCAATGTCCTTCAGGCCTTCATCGTTGAAAACAATGGCCATCTTAAAGAGAAAAAAGAACAGAAAAAAAATTCTTCCAGATCAACATGATCAAGGACTTTTAGGGAATATTGCTGGAATGTGCTGTGATTTCCAACTGTTCTCTTGATCCAACCATGGAGATATTTGATTGGCAGTAAGGTGGTTCAATCTGGCAAGCTGCCATTTCATGTAGGTAAGAAATCGTGGGGCTTTCGGAAGCAGACTTCAAAACCAGTGAATTAATATAGCACGGTTTGACGGTGGATACATGTAGTTGATTTCAGGTCTAAGAGGTATCAGCAGTTGAAAAAACAGCAGTTGTATGATGTGTGAGCCCAATATGCAAGGATAATAATGGTGCTTTGAAACATTGTGAAAAGTGCATTACAAATGTTGTAATTATTATTATATTAAAAACTATTTTTTGAGGCAAAATGTGAAATTAAAATGTAAATGCAGTGGGCCCCACTCACATAAATATTTTGAACAATCATTTGCCTGCTTAGTTAATGTATTGAGTACATTATTAGTGCAGGATTAACAAAATTAGTAGTCTAGGATGAATTAAACTAGTTGATTTGTGTAATAATTGAAATAGGTTGTTGCAAATTTCCTTGGCACATTGCAATCCAGAAAGGTTCTGATGTAACTGTTTACAGGATTTTCTTTCAGTTACATATTTTTGCTACGTATATGTATTTTGTTATTTCCATTTTCAGTCAGAATCAAGGTGAAGTAATTGATCTTGTGATTTCCATCTTATGCTTTACATATTTGTCAATAATTTTCAATTCCTCTGTACATAAAGGTACTGACAAATGACTAATTCTGTGTACTTTCTATTTGAATATTTATGTGGTTGGTTGTATGTAATAATGAATTTTCTTGGAATTTTGAAGCTTTTGATTAGGATCATTTTCGGAGGTTTCCAAGAAGTTGTTGGGAACAAACACAAACCTGTAAAACTCAAGCTATGCTAATTTTATTTTTTTTGGGGGGGGGGAGTTGATAAAGAGTTTGGCTCTCTATCATGAATATGTATGAGGTACCAGTATGGTAATCAGGACTTCCAAGTGACAGGAGGTATCAAACTGCTGCAAAAATTTCTAAGCCAAAATGCTGAACTCTCAAAAATTCAAATGCATACAGTTATAAAGGGAAGCGCTTGCTAGCATCAGTGTGCAGTAAACACAGAATGATTGCAAGAGTCTTATATCAAGTAAATAAATGCAAAATCTAGAAAGTAAAATGGAACATTCTTACCTCATGTGATTTGATGGAACCATGAGCCTTTGAAGCCTTACAAACTGCAAACGACCAAAAAAAAAATTAAAAAAGCCCCAAAAGGCTTAATACGAACAGATCACAACTGTTCCTACAATTTTCTTTGCACCCCAAGAACTTAAGGGTAATTCCAGAAATGAAGGGTCCCTTTTAAATCTGACCTATGATTTTGTAAGTTCAGAACACATTTTGTAATTTCAAAGAGTGATGAATTAATGCAAATTACCTGCCAAACAAATAGTAATAGTTCAAAATCAATTCTGGTGATATTTCCATGTCAAATAATAAACGTTAGCTGTAACAGGGACAGAAAAATGTCACACTTTTGTACCCCTAATTTCTGGAATTACCCACAAATAAGTTCAAGTTACTGAATCAATCTACATACATGTATAACTACCAGTTATTAAGCTCTGTCAAATTTAACTTTTTAATGGGACTGTGGTTTTTCTGGTCTACAATACAACCATGACTCAGAGGAAACCAAAGACATACATGTACTGTACTTCTTGACTTGACATCAAGTTCAGTCAGAGAATACCCTCTGACAAGCTGAAAATGTTTGCCCTGTTTACCATTCTCACGTAATGGTCTGCTTTACTGTGATCGTGATTTCAAACTCATAACATCTGATCATGTTTAATGGTACATAAATGTACAAACATCCCTCCATTTTCCCATTTCTAATGTCATAGCGAGGTAAATTACACTCCACCACACCTCAACCTCCACTCCACCCTCCATCCCCCAAAAATCACTTTCTGGCAATCTCAACAGCAAAACTTAATAGGATTTCACCCATTTCTGTGGGACTTTAGTTCCATCATTAATCCGCACAACTCAACTGTATTCATTTTAAAATAAACAAACTGGGTTTGATGTGGGTGTGTTAGCCACTGAATATATATACACAAACCTGACACTGAACATGGGTAAGCATATATGGCCATGTACGGACATGATGGAATACAGGAGGTATATGCATCTAATGTGCATGGAGATTCTTAACCTTTGGACTGAGCCACAATCAATGCACACATATAGTGCGCACTCGTAACAACCAATGATTGTGGCTTTCTTGTACAGGTTTTTATAGGCACCGTCACTGGACAAAATGCATGATGAAGTAAACCCCCATCTGTGCTGACACATTTGGTGTGTTACTG